TCTTCTATTTTTCTTTAGTGTCGCATCGACAGCGAGGTCATTATCGACTATTATTATTTTATATAATTTATAGTCTATTAATATTATAAATCAACTGTTATCCCCGACTTGTCGCGAAATATAATTATTATCTCGCGTGACAGGAGTAGCAGTTGTTTTATTTCGATAATTAGTTGGTTATCTGGAGACTTTTGCGAAATATAATTACTATCTCGCGTGACAGGAGTAGCAGTTGTTTTATTTCGATAATTGGTTGGTTATCTGGAGACTTTTGCACTTTACTTTTGATGATCGATTGTTAGAACTCAACTCGCGCTTCAGTTTCACTGTTCAATCATTCTGCGAATAATTTAGAAAAAAAAAGAAAAATATTGAGAATAATTAGTACGTTTGAATAGCTCGTTAATTGTTTCGATGATAATAATCTGCAATAATCTCGCCGTTCGTTTTCTGCAAAAAGGGAAAGACAATACTTGGAATAACGAGTTTTTCCGACTGTCGTAAACGCTAGAAAAGTAAACGTTAGGCGTGCGTAAAGTTTCTTAACGAGAGGAGGAATACAAGATGCCCTGCAGACGATATTGTCGGGAATTTGCATTCCATCGTTTCCCTCCTCCATCGATGGCTCCCGGGAATATCGAAAAATTCACTGCCTGCAATACTCCGACCGGTGGAAAACACTTAAGAGGTTCGTTTGCATGGAAATGCCTTGTAAAGTTGAGGAAGAGCTGGAAAAGCTCGCGCGTGCAAAAGTTGCAGATGTACACGAAACGAAACAAACACGGGGCGAAGTTGCGTAAATTGAAAGCGTCTCTCAAATTCAGTAAAGTTTCGCGAAATTCAATTCGCGACGTGAGTTCCGTACAAACATTGTAAATATCAATTTGCGAACGTGTATACATTTTGTTACCATTTTAATATCACGCATTTTGTATTCGACACTTCGACAATTCGTTCGAAAAGCCACGACGCAATTTGATCAAGATATTCGCGTTCTCGTTGCATTTTCGAAAAGTTGAAAGATATTTTGTATGTCGACAACAATGAAAGTGAGAGAGAATTGTCTTCAGAGAGGAAATATTTTTGTTAAGAAAAGAAAAAAAAATAGGAACAGAATTTCTGGAAAACCACGTATTTCGAAAAATGCAAATCGCGAGGCTCCGTGCGAATGTTTTTATTGTTTTTTCGCGTTTCAAAATTCTTCGTTCCCTCTTTCTCCCTCTCCCTCTCTGTCCGCTGTTACTTCGAACATTCACAGCTCGCTACCATCGACAGATTCTGTCCAGAAAAATTCAGACTCGACACGATCGAACGATGCAACGCGTACGGTGGCTCACGGTCGAAAGCAGCGGCTCGACGACAAAATATGTAAAAACATTCCCGAACATTTTACGAACGAACGTCGCGAAAAAAAGAAAAATGTTGACAGTTATCGGCTGCGACCATCCCACGATTCGTCCGATGACAACCAGCTGTCACTACGAGATCGAGCAATTTACCTGGTAACGATGTAATAAAACTGAAAACCGACGAGAAGAGAGAAGAACGAGAGGAGGGGTGAGTTGAGAAACGTGTGTTGACTCTGTTTATTTCTAACCGAAGAGATTAATGACGAGGAAGATGTTCCGTTCATCCTCGGCGACCGACGTTCGATGAAATTTCCCTCTGACAAGATAATTTTATTCCATGATGGTAGTTACTACGTGAATAAAAGTTTCAACGTGGTTGATTAAGAGGCACGTCGTAGACAGTGATTTTTATGAAAGGGGAGCAGTGATTTACCCTTTATGGATTCAGAGTGTATTACTTTGATATTAAAAACATTATGCGAAAAGTGTAGCATCCATTCCCGATTGTAAAGAAGAAAACACGTTTATCGACGATCCGATTTGTCTGTAGTTCTACGATTAAAATACGCATTTTCTCAAAAAAATGTTCAAACGCAGAAATAATTTTAAACGATAACCTAGACATTTACATCCTACGTGTATTCTACTGCGTCACAATATACTGTAATATTCATCCCTGATTACAAAGCTGAATAATAAAGTTGTTCAAATTTCAAGTTCGATCCTCTCTTTCCAATTAAAGTACTTTCGTCGTTTGAAACATAAAATTCAAGCGTCCGGAGATACTTTCGAGCAGATGTATAACATATAGATGTACACAGAGCCACGAGTCGCACCTCCACATTTCGAACAATATCCGGGTACTTAAAACCCACCCCCTTCTACCAGACAGTAGAAGCGTGTCAGCCCTTGTGATCCTCCCTCTCTCGTCAGCTCGTCTCGTCAGCGTCTCGCCTTCCTTTTCCGCGGCGGGTTCCAAGGTCGGCGTGCCTCGGTTGGAAGTCGAGGCCAACACACGAAGTCGAGAAAAGGGCGGTAGAACCGCGCGCGTCGACGAAGGGCAGCCGGAAGAAGGAGTCTACGGATAATGATCGATACTGCCGGCACAGAGGGACTGGATCTCCCTCCGAGGATCGGAGACGGCTGCGCTCTCGCTCGTCCTTCTGTCTTCTCTCTCTTTCTCTCTCTCTCTCTCTCTCTCTCTCTCTCTCTTCGCTCGCGTTAGTTGGCGCGCGTCGAAATTTTCCGCGTCTTTGGGTCCTCTTGATCCTCCCTCCTCTTCATCTCGGCTAGCGGGCAGAGAGAGAGAGAGAGAGCTTCTCCCACGTCGCGAGACCAGCAACTGCGCCCCCTTGGAAAATGAAAAGGCCCCTCCACCGGCGCTCCGAGTTTTCCAGTAACGATCGGTTCCCTTGCCCGGGGTACGAGTAGCGGGTAACGCGTCGTCCCTCTGCCCTCTCCTGGCCCTGCCAGCACAACCGACCGCCCTCCCTTTTCGTCCTCAGGCTCGGATCGGCGCGGCGCGGAGCCCTCGCTCGCCGAGCGGGTTCACGCGACCGCGAGGCTTGCATGCCTCCATGTTTGTTGCCGTTTTTACGGAAACGACGACGAGAAGAGTTTTCGTCGTCGGTTTTTGTACCTATCTGTAGGTCGATTTGGAAGAAATCTAGCGGCAATCGTTATTTTGTTGCTGTATGTTGTTTTGGTTAGTAAGCAACGTTAATGTCGGTTAATGTAGAATTTGGAAAGTTGAGAAGCTTTGAGAATGACTCTTTTTCTTTCGTTCTTGGGGGGGAAAAACTTGCCGAGGTGCGTGAATTTTATTCGATTCAAGGGAAATTTGTCGAGACGCGTGGATTTTTTTCAGAGAAGATTCCACTGATTTTTCCTTACTTTAATTATAGTTCTCGGAAGAAAAAAAATCAGAGAAGTGAACTTACGATTGTACGAAAATTGACTTTTACATATCATTCGATCTCTTATTCTTCGTTCAAAGAAGTTTTAACATTGGTCGAACATTGTGCGAGAATTGATTTCAGGTTGGCTGGATCAATTTCGTACATTCTTTGTTTTTCTTTCTTTTGCTTTATATTTGTGGAAAGTTCGAGCAGAGATACAGGGGATGGTTAAGGGAATATTTTCGAGGAAGATTTCTGTTGTTTTAACTTTCTTCGACGGGGGCAGCTTTTTTTCTCTAGGACGGCTTGTTGATTTTGACGTTTCACCTAAGAGAGAGACCGGAGGGAAATTTTTTACAGGATACATGAAACATTAATAAGGTGAAAATTAAATATTTATTTGACTGTTAGGATAAATATTGTATTGTGGAAACTGTGTTTAAAAATGTTGAATCTTTTCATTTCTCACTTGTGCAAATTTTATGTACCTACCTTTTAATCGATGGGGTTCTTCTTATCTGGGACTAGTCATTTTTATAATCTTTCTAAAAAATGTTAACTGTTTATAATAAATATAACGTTCCCCAGAGGAAAACAGATTTCAATTTTTTATTAAAGTTGTCGAGGATAACTCGATTTTCTATGATTTTCCACGTTCAATCAATTCAATTTTAACGCCACAAGCAATATCCTATGTCATTCCCTATTGAAAAGCATCCAGTACGCTTCGATATACAATGTACCCCAGTATAGATAAATAAAAACGCGCCGACGTTACGAAAATATTATAATACCTCCTATCTGAAGTTGCGAGAACATTTTTCCAGTCCTTTTTTCTTCCAGAAAATGAAATTTCAAACGCGTTAAAATGAAAAATTTTATTCTACTTGGCTGCTGTTACGAGAACTTCGCCACGTTAATATGAATTTTAATTCCCGTTGAAGTGAAAAATACGAAATTGAAATATTTTATTGCTACTTTTATCGACTGCTAAATAAAACGAATAGAATCTTTAGATACGATTCTTCCAAACCCCTGGTACGAAAGTACTTCGTCAATTTCGAACAAACTTGATGTTGTTGGTCGGGAAAGAAAAAAAAATAGGAGAAAGAACGAAATTACGCTTTAAACCTATTACTGCCTTAAAACGCCCAGTGCCCACGCGTCGTTTAAATCCTCCGCAGCAGTACGACAGATTCATACCGATACTTTCGAACTAAAATTCCTTTTTCTACGCCTCTCCGCAACTTTTCTCTCCAGGAGAGTTTCCCTCCCCGCTCAACGAAACTATAAGCCCCGGTGTCCTCCGCATGATTCTCCCTCGTGTCCTCCATCCGCTGCAGAAGGCAGCAAGATTCCGATCCGCTCCTACAAGTGCGCGTACGTGCGTTTCCACAAATACGCGATCTGATTTAAAAAAAAAAAAAAGGAAAAAAGAGTGAAACTGGAATTTCTCCGGGAAACTTGCTCCTTCGAGAGCCCTTAATCGTCCATCCAGCGCGTCCGTCCCTGCATCAACCCCCGATCGAGCCCCCGCATCCTCTTTGCAGCCTCTACAAGCAGCAGCCGGACGCCCACGCGTCTTCGAGGCACGATCTCGTGGCCCCCGTAATCTACCCCCGGGCTGCGCGCGCATCCGCCGCGGCGATCGGCCAACTCCGTCACCCCTCGGTGGCCGGCTCGAGCGTCTTCGGCGGCGGTCGGCCGGCCCGCGACAAAGAAAGACGGAAAGCGGCAGCCACCGTCAGTACGGTGGACGCTCTTCCCCGGAGCGCACCTCGAATTTGAGCGTGATTCTCCCGACACTTACGTCGTGCACGCGCGCAACTGGTGATCGATTCGCACTTCCGCCACCGGCCCGCCTCCTTCGAACTCCGCTAGATCTGTCAAGGTCATTCGGTGACAGCCAAATAACCGCACAAAGGTGCATGTCGCCAACGGCGACTGGGTGTCCCACGCGTGTTCTTCATTCCCGTCGCGTCGAGGCGTTTCTTCTTTCTTCTTTTTCTTTTTTTTCTTTTTTCTTATTTAACCTTCGATCTGCAGAGATGTTTTTTTTTTTTTTTTTTGGAGTTTTGGGTTGTCGAGAGCGAGAAGAATTGGTGGAGATTTAGGGTTCTTGTTTTCTCTTACGATCTGCAGGAAATTTCTTCGGTGTGATCCTCCTCTATTTGTGAAAGATATAATGATGCTTTGATTTTTTTTTTTTTTTTTTAAGATTTTTCGTAGTTGGTGATTGATAGTAAATTCTTCTGCGATTTAGTTGCAATGTTGGTTTTGTTTATTGAACTTTGAAATTCTTCGATTCGTGTGATCTCGTGTTAAGTTTCTCATCTTTGTTTGGTCGGCCTACCTGATTTGTAGCAAATTTTTTCCAGACTTTAACTCGTGGCAGTTCAAGAGAGTTTCGTTTCAAGAAACATTTGGCGGTTAAATTTTAAAATTATTCTTCGATCCGGTTAATACAGCGCTTGTATAAATTTTGACACGTCGTCCGTCTACTCGAATCGTAAAGCGCAGTAACGTGCACGCGGAAATCATTAATTTCACGTTTATTTAACCAGCAACAATAACACTATTTTCTCTCACGTTCGAAAAGTCGGCGCATAAAACAATCCTCGTCGTATCTTTCCTTTTTTTCTTCTTTTTTTTTTTTCTTTTCCTAGAAAAGAAGATGTCTCTGTGGTACAAACGCCGCTACATCGAAGCTTGTTTATTGAACGAAAAATATTGACATCCTTTGTCGAGCTTTGCCTGTAATACAACATTTTTTATCGTGAATCCGCCCTACGTTATACAATACCGATTCGCGATATTAATGCATCGTTTTGTTTGCTTTACGTATCGAGGAGATATCTGCGACGGAGAATTGTAAACGCTAGAATTTATCTGAACGATAAATTTACACGTGATGGCCAGTCAACTGGCCATGAAATTAAAATTCTTTCGTGGAGTAACTCGATTTTTGTTGGTTTGGGGGAAAAAAAAAAGAAAATAGAAAAATATGACGAAACGTTGAGAGAGGGAGACGGCAGTCAAAGTGAAAACGTCAATGTCAGAAGTTTTAACTCCGACGTCACGAGACACATAAGAAAATATCTTAAATCACGATTAATAATAATTTTCTTCGAAGAACCGTTCTTTGTTACTCTGCAGAGAATCAGTTGTGTTACTCAGACTTTAAACTTTGTGTTTTCAGGGATTCTTTGTTCTTTCCGCAGCTAGAAGCGTAGAAACTCGATAATCGCGCACAGCAACGACGTTATTATCTGTAGGAAAGCACTATCGTTGAACTCGTTGAAACGATTTAACTTATTAACGTTCAAACTTCCTATTAGCAAAGTGTGACAGCTAATCACCACTGATAATAACCGATCGGTCAATTCGACGTTGGCAAAATCGTGCTGACATGCATTACTCTGTCGTATCGTTCTTTCATCGAGTTACGGACGACTGTAGATTTTTAAAATTTAAGATTAATGAATATCAATTATAAAATTCAGTTGAATTAGAAATTTCAAAATTAAGTGATTTAACTGTAAATTTTCACGCAAGGTAGTAAGTGGAGTGAATTAATGTCAACATTTCGCACGATCATTAGAGACGATGTTGAATGAATAACAAGGTTAATTCAAATGTTTCTTGCTCAATTTCAGTCAGGATAGACGCAACTAGTGTCGAAATCGCAAATTTCGCATCGTCGAACGAACGAACTCGCAGTTAATGGCCGATAGTCGATACGAAGTGACACGCGAGTGACACCCAGCCGCTGCGTGACGAAACGTCGTTGTCGAAACGTTTTCTCGTGGTCCCGATTTCGAAGGCTCGTTCGAATAAAATAAAACACGATGACTCACGAAACCTGTTCGCAAGTCGCTGCTTCGACGCGGATGTTCAGAAAACTTGCGAGGAGGTAAAAGCGAACCGTGTTCGCATTTTGAAACAATTTGGATAGAGTTGAATTATTATTGTTTGACGAAAGATTTTTCTTAATACACTTGAACCTCTTGCGCTGGGAAGACGTGCCACGCATGTTTTCTAACAAATTGTAACATTTTTTCGGTTTTAAGTATATTTCAATGTAACCCGGGCAAAGTAAATAATAAATTCATTACTTCTCAATAATTTCTATCCAGTGATATCATACCGACGAGTTCAAAAGAAAAAGAAAGCGACGAATTATTGCATACGGTTTGGTCACTCGTTATGGTCCGCAATCAGTTGCCAGCGCAAGTGGTTAAACAATTAATTTATTCAGATATTATTTCTGTCGCTGTCACGTTTTGAAAATTTCGCCGAGACATTATTTAAAATTCTACTACTAATTGCACAATTCACTTTTACCTTCTGTCGTCAATTCGTCCGTTATCAATAAATTCACATTTTATCTTTCGCTTTCTGCGAACGGGTGAATGGGTTAATTTGTTCAATGCCAGAAAAAATTTTACGATTTTTATAAGAAACGCGACACTCTCGAATCGCAAAGTCGTAGTAGTTACATCCAGCATCGAACACTTCGAGATCAATCAGCATCCCGACGCACAGTTTGCTTTCGCCAAAAGTTCGCTTCATCGAATCGTCTGTTCAGCAGACCTTTGCACTCGAGTGTACAGAAGAGAAATGTTCGCAAAATTAGTTTTATTCGCCGTAGGTTCCAAATAAATTCGCGAACGTCGAGCAATCGAACGAGACGAGAGAAAAAAAAAAAAAAAGAAATAATCGAGGGCAAAGGTTCGAGATGTTCGTAACGCGTTGTTTTTCGTGATCGTTGTCAACAGTCGGCGCGCAGACCATGAACCGCGCAGACATCATCGAAATCACCATCACCAAACACGGCAGCGAATCGTGAACACGCGAAATTGCGTTCAGAACGCAAATTTCAGAGTCCCCGTTGGCAAGCCAGCCCGTTGGTGATCCAAGGGGAACGTTCGCCTCAGGTCATCTGGTGGAGCTCCGAAACCCACTGCGGGGTTCCGTGATATCGGAGGGACCGAAGCTACGAACGGTGCAAACACGAAATCCCAAAAGGAGGAGATGAGCGGCGTCGGTTTCCTCGCGGCGGTGAAGACATTCACGCCGGGCGGCCGCCGACGTAGACGCTGCGAGAAGCAGCAGAAGGTGCTGGAACTTCCGCCCGGCTACGCCATGCAACCGGACGTCGTGCCCTGCTGGGACGCTGCGCCCCCTATCACGCCGCCGGCCGCGTTCTTGCCCCCCGGTTACAAAAAAGGCTTTCCAGGTGAGCCGATTTTTCTCGCCTCTAGTTCTTCACAGATGGGGGGGGGGGGGGTTGTGAACTTTGGCTGCTGAGCCTTCCAGTCGCGAGAGAAAGATTAACAGCAACTTTGAGTTACACTCAGAGTGGTTTCGATTTCAAAGAGAAACGGTAGCCGTACGGAATGTGAACTTTCAATTTTCATTCTTCAAGAGGAAGATTAATAAATCAAGGTTAGAGATGATTAATAAATTAAATAGGATAGTGAAAATTTGTAAGGGTAGTAAGATTAGTAAAAATACGGTTAATGTGAATTTTCAATTTTCATTCTTCAAGGGAAAGATTAATTAATTAAGATTAGAGATGATTAATAAATTAAATAGCATAGTAAGAATAGTGAGATTAGTAAAAATACGGTTAATGTGAATTTTCAATTTTCATTCTTCAAGAGAAAGATTAATAAATCAAAATTAGGGATGATTAATAAATTAAATAGGATAGTGGAAATTAGTAAGAGCAGTAAGATTAGTAAAAATACGGTTAATGTGAATTTTCAATTTTCATTCTTCAAGAGAAAAATTAATAAAGTAGGATTAGAGAAGATTAATAAATTAAATAAAAATGCGGTTAATAAATAGAAATTATACGTGATGCTTTCGATGCTTTATATTTTACGATGTAACACGTTTACTGAGGAGTGAAGAAGAAAATCGCAAAGCAAACGGCGACGAAAAAAAGAACATGTCGCTTGAAACTTTCGGGGTTACTGGAAATTTGAGAATTTGGGGTGAAATCGAAAGACAGACTTCAGGTTCTAATAATAGGATTGATAATCACAAGTAGATTGTGGATTTTTACGTATTTACGAGAAACTTAAGGGCACTTGAGGAGATAAAAGTGTATGAAATAACTGAAATGCAGTATTAATATTGATCCCTCTTTTTTTTAATTATTTTCACAGATACGTGAATTGAAGTCCGTATTTGCACAATAATGGTCGACCGTTCCATATAATAAATATTTTGGATCAAATTGAAGAAACGATTGACCGATTATGTGAGAACTTGAATGTTGAAAGAATTCTCGTGAAAATTGTTTTATTATCCAATTTCAGCATGTTTTCACATTTGACAAATCCTACAAACTCGCGTGTTCAGTAGTTCATTCAACGCATTCGGAGTTCTCGAAAAAAAATTTTTTAAAAATTACTTAAATATCGAAAACTTGTACCAAGCACGATTTAAAAAAAAAAAAAAGGAAATCTTCATGTCTCGTTGAAAAGTTATCCGAGACGCGAAACATTACGTTCGAGTACGGTGATCGGGCTTCCAATTTACATGTGTAGCCGGTGTGCCTGCAGAAAACGTTAACAAACGGACCGCGTTATCGCGAGGAAACGATGCCCCTGGTAAACAGTTAATCGTACATCTTGCCGGTCGTTTTTCCCATTCGCTTGAATGCCTCTCGTGTTCATGCAACGTCTTTCAATTTCCTTGAACAATACCACTGACCCTGATCGTTTATCTTCATTTAAAACGCCGCTGTGCTTTTCGTTGCGTGTGCCAACTGCACTTTCATTCCCATATACAACGTCGTTCGTAGTTCATTACTTAGCCCTTGTTCGCCCTTGTTTCTCGTTTTTTTATTCTCTCTCTCTCTCTCTCTCTCTCTCTTTCTTTTTTTTCCGAATGAAATCAAACGAAGCTCCCGCGCGGAACGAAAGAAGAGGAAAAATTGAAAAATCAGAAAAGAAGAGGAAAGCGGAAAAAGAAAACACTCAGTTTGCTCCATCAGAGTTCTCTAAACTCTAGCCATGATCGATGAAAGCCAATATAGGCGAGTCGTTTTTTGAACCGCGGTACAAATATTGATATCTCTCGCTTCGTGTTTTTTTTTTTTTTTTGTATTATTTAACGAACGAAGAGAGATTTAGTTATGAATTCACGTATTGTCGAACGCCCCGCTCGTTTTTCTTCTCGCTTCTCCGCCGCCAGTCGGAAAATGAATTTGAAAACGTTCGAGGTGAGAACGACCCGGAGCGTGTCTCCTTTCGGAAAAAGTTCAATTTTTTATTTTCCACGTATTTCGACGTATCTCTTATTGCGCAATTATCGCAGATTATAATAAATCAAATCGATTCGTTCGAACGCATTAATACTATTTTACAAATACGACTTTATTGCATTGATGATTCGTTTGAAACGAATTTGGAAACATGTATAAATTGTGAAATATTTGTGAAAATTGTACACACAAAATATAAACGCGTGAAACTTTTCTTTTTGATAAATCTTCATGTATATATGTGTAAACCAGTATGAACTCCTCAGTTGTCAACGAAAATAACCCCGAAGAAATTCGATTCTCGAATATCAGTTAATTGAAAGCGTAATTACTGTTGGCTTTAAATGTTTCTTTCTCTCTCTCTCTCTCTCTCTCTCTCTCTCTCTCTCTCTCTCTCTCTCGCTGCACAAATGGATTTCATCGTTTTTCAAAAGCCGCTTGATAATTATAGTTTAACAGTCGTCGGAATTGAAAGCGTTTCGCGGCCGGGTCGCCGCTACCGTGAAATTGCAAATTAATCATTCTCGCGATTTTAAACGATCAAATCGAATCACTGATGCGTGCGTAGCGTACGAATGGAAAAGAACAGAGGAAACGTGGGATTGTTTGGAAATTAATAAGCGTCGAATCGGCGGCTTCATCGTTCTTAATTGATATGAAATGGACTGAAGGAAATATTGTTTGCTGAATAAAAAAAAGAAAAAGAAATCTGCCTTGGAATTTCACATTGGGTATTCGAGACGTCGAATTTTTTAAACCTCGTATCCTCTGACTTTCGAATTTCCAAATTTCTTTCTATTCGCAAACTTACGCGTGAATTTTTCGCAAAACCTTCTGAACTCACGAGGTGCCGAAATTCGAACGAAATTATTTCATAATCTCCAAGTTTCACAATTTTTCGATCTCAATGTTGCGAACTAAAGTCTTCGAACTTAACTTGAGACCTCCGAATCGGTTTCTTTAAATTCATCTCGATTGTTAACTCTGCCCGGTTGTTAACGTTGATCAAATATTTAAATCCCGAACAATACGCGAAATACAATTTAATTTTCTCCTGTTATTGCAACCGAGTGGTTGGATTATCGACCAAACAAGGGATGATCGAAGTAACTGCGGGAAATTCGTGCCTTCGTGAACTTGAACCCTCCGTCAGCTTTCATTATATAGAATCAACAGCGTTTCTATCGTCGGCTCGTCGAGAGGTGGCAACGTGCACTCTCCGATCTATTGCTCGGCCAGCCAGAAAATTTTCAATCGAATCTCATCGCGAAACTGAGAAACGCAGTTTGAGAATCGAATCGCAAACCTGTCCCCGCTCTCCGATATCTTCGTCCACACGTTCACCTTTGACCTGCGAGCCGTACAATTGCCATTTAAAAAACGATCTTCTTTTTATTGATGATTCTAGAACTCGATACTCGTTGTTCGCCCGAATAGTTTTCACGGCTGTTTGAAATTTTTACAAGTGCAAAAACGGAGGTAATAATTGTGCTTCGCGGAGATACGACGAAGAGATTTTTTTTTTAAATATTCAACAAAATTTTTTTTTTTAATACAGCTAAAGAAAACAGATGGAACTGTGTACTATGTATTAATATATCGAAATGGTTGGTTTTATAAATTGCAATGCACGGAAATACGACGAAGAGACTGCGAATGTTTAAATGTTTCAGAAATTCTTTTCGAACGTAGTTAAAAATTTGTCTCTTGTTCTGTATATTAATATGTTGAATAATATAAATTACAATAGTATTGAATAATATGAATTTTTCCTGATTGTCGGAAGGAAGAATTGTAAGTATAATTTTATATTCATTAACAATATGAAAAGGTGGATAAAACTTTCTCGTAAGAATCTCGTATAAATCATTATTGGCGTAATTGCGTGAAATGTTTAAAGTGTTCTTCTCGTTTCGCTTTGCATGTGATCGAAGACTAATTTTTCTTCCCCTTTAACAGGAAATCGTTATCCTTTTCGAACGTCTCTTTGGCGTAACTTTTGACTCTACCCGCGTTTTTAATTATAACTTTTTACGCCGACATTTTCCACCTTATTAGAACTTCTTTCTTCTAAATTTAATTTTCTATAAGGCTCGGACGCTCCAATTCAATCAGAAATGGAAACAGCCAGCTTCGTCTATTTAAAGTTCCATTTAGATAATTATTTGACAATCAGGACAGAGCGAGGGAACATTTACGATCTAATGAAATGAAACTGAAGAATCGATAGAATATTTAATTTAAAAAATCGAAGAATTAACAATTAATCAGATTGGTTAATTATCAATTTATTTCTGACACGTGCGAATTTTCTGACAATTACTGCGACAACTTCCGACACAAGTTATCAAGATGGAACTTTAACTGGATGTCAGAAAATTGATTATCATTGAAAAATCCATCAGAATAGACACTTATATTTAGAATGGAAATCGGTAAATTGGAAATATTTACAGATTATTCGATACTTTGTTTCTGTAGTTTAAAACAACAATCGTTAATAGAAAAAAATTGGATACATTTTACTCTAAAAACCACCTGCCTGAAACGTTCAGGAACGTCCAGTTCTTCACCGTTCGCCATTTAAATTCCAAGGAAGAAGAATAGACGAAAGGAAGGGGAAAAAAATTTTAATTACACAGACTCGCGTTCGCGAATCTCGGCGATGTAATGGCCCCAAAGGGGATTCCAAATAAAAAGACGAAGGGGAGGGAACGAATTTCTCTCGCCACTTTCGTTATTCCGAGAAATCTAGGATCGTTCGAGACATTTAACCCGGGTAAAAGGAATTTGGAAGGGATTCTAGTCGTTGGCTCGCTTTAATTTACAGCATCGATTTGAGAAACGACAGTTCACCCCCATCCGGTCGGTAGCGGTCGTGTTCCGAGGGATGGCGAGAGACGAAGAAGAAGGTGTTCCGAAACTTTGTTGGGTGCGGCTCGTCTTTTTGTCGAGGCTGA